GCAAGTTTTGGTGGTTGATGGAAAATAATCATGCCAATCACTTCTTGATCCGGCTTACGCTACTGTTAATTGTCTGCTTTTATTTCGTCCTCTGATTATAAATAATTTTTTTAATTTTTAGCTAAAATTCGTGTTAGGAATAAACGAATGAAAGAAAGAAAGAAAAACAATAAGAAAGAAAGACCATGTTATTCTTGCTACACTGATTTCCAGAAATGTGTGAAATATCCAGTCAGATAGTAGAAACGCTGTGTAATTTGACAAATAAAGAGATTTGATCAATTGGCTCAAATTCATCGACGTTTTTATTAGTTCCTCGTATATTGATAAATCCTCAACGAGAAAAAGAAATTCTCATATTCCACGAATCATTCTAGATAGTATTCTCATCTTCCGGTTAACTCAGAAAGTTATTAAGACGGTAAAATATAGTTAGAAATAAAAAATTTTAAAAAGCGCTGGACACTAAGAAACATCCTAACAGATGAAGAAAAGACATGAATGAACGGAGAAACGGTTCTACTGACGAACGCTAACAATACATCACTTCCTTGATTATCCGGACACCTTGCACCTAGGATTCAAAAATATGTCTGGATGATTCATACTGTTGGATAATTGAATACTTAAATTAAAATCTAAAAACAATGAATAAAATGTCATTTTAAAAAGAAATACAGCATTTCTATCGTCAAATAGATTTTCAAACGCTTTTTTAAAAAAAAAAATGCATGAATCCGTATCTATTTCTGGTTAATTTGTATCTGTTCTGCTGCTAACTATCACAATTAGGTATATATATATATATATATAACTTTTTAAAGGCCAACCAACTGAATCATTTGACAAAGTTAATTATTGCTTCAGTGTTCGGAATTGGAGAATCATCCACCGGCTTTTCAACATTTTTTGACATGGCTATAGTAATTTTCCAAGCGTAGCTTAGAGTGGCACAAATCCGAAAGTCGGAGGCACCCAGTGAGGATCGAACTCACTACTCAGTCGTAATTGTTCTAGCGAGACAAGCTTGCTAACTGTTACACCGCCCTAAGTTCAGCAATACGTTCAGCGTTGTAATAATTCAAATGTATGTTCTTTTTGTACGAAAACAACGAGGAAATTAATAGAAATTTCCGTATTTTCCAGCTTACAGACGCATTTTTTCCTAACAAAATATCTTAAAAAATACGTGTGCGTCTTCCAAGATGAATGTAACGCAACGTCCAAGCTCAAATAGGCTTGGACGATCACATAATTGGCTTGACTGATAGGGGCGTTAATTTGTATGTTGACTCATTATACTATAATGTTAGTTACTTATCTAATTCAGCCTTTTATATGATGTAACCTCAGTATTTAGCTATTAAATGTATTTCCAAGACTTTATAAACCTTCCTAAGGCCGAGCCACAAACTTAAACAGGGGAACCTTTCTGATCTTGACTAGTATGTCATTGCCATACAAACAAAATCGGACGAGTGATTAATATAAACAATACATGGCGCCAGTATGTGAGGGACGGATGATGAATGTGTTGTTGTGTGAGAATGACTTTTTATTCTTACAAATTTCGTGTCCTGGGTATGACGATAAACTACATCCGACTGCAAGGCCTCTGATCGGGAGGTTTTGAGGAGCGTAGAACCACCTCTGAATCGCTGGTGTTCCCCGGTCCACACTGACCCGAGGTGGTAGCACCTGTTAAGGTCTCAGCTATGAGTAAATAGCCACCCCCCACAAAAAAGAAGTTAAAACACTATGAAAGTATAAAAATAAGTTTTAATACCATCAATACATTTTTGGAAAAATTTTTACTAGCAACACATTTTTGAAAAAAAAAATATTACCAGTAATAAAAATCTTGTAGGCATTAAATAACTCACTGAGGTTAATATGCTGTAAAACAAAGCAAATCAAACCAAACTTATAAATTTTTTACAATATTAGGGGACGTCTTCCAAGCCGCTAATTGAAGTATTTTTGGCAGCGTTTTTATCCAACATTAAGTATGGTTTCTAAATTCCTAAAACGCTAGTCTGAGATGGGTTTAATTTAAAAATATTAGGATGAATTCATTTTTTTGTCATTTATAATTGAATTCCGGAGAATTGTGGTATGGATAATCGAGGAAATAATGGACCATGGGGATACATGGGAGGAACGAGAAAGTCTTCAGGGAAAGAGGATGAACAACGAAAAAATATACTTACAATCAGAAATTTCTGGCGGACGTGATAAGAAAAGGGTGTAATTTAACATTACAGGTTTATTAAAGGCAAGAGGAGCAGGGGATAATATCGAGTAACCTTCTTAACGTACTTGAATGAATGGATCACAAAATAGACATTCTTTGTCCAATCTGATAGCCATTAATGGTTTCGTAATCCGTCACACGTGCATAATACAAATAATAACAGAAAGACTTCAATGTAAAATAAAAAAGTATTTAATTACCAAACGCAATTAAAATACGTTGACAAAAAAGAAGAGTCAACGGGCAGATTATTGATTACTTATCAGTTAATACACGACTGCGAAGAGCTGCTAAGAAAGTACTAATTCGTTTTAAAACATGCGATAGTCGACTTTAATGTCCGGGTTAACACAATAGTCAAATACATAACTGTATTCTTTCTTTATAGTAAATGACAGTCTACATTTTCATTGTCTAGAGATTCACGTTCAAACTCTGGTTTCAGTAGTGATACTTTTCATTCAAAGGTAAATGATCAAAAGTTACTTAGAGTAACAAGAGAAAGAAAATTGTGGACAGCTGTCTTCACACACGTTCAGAAACAGCTTGGAATATTGACATTCTTTTTGCTTTCGCTACAAAATTTCAATCGCTGCATCTTCGAACTTCCCCGAACCTATATTTTACTTGGAAGATGTTGAATACGGTCCTTGTATATTTTGAGCAAGTTGAATATTTCTCTGATCTAATATATATATATATATATATATATATATATATATATATATATATATATATATAACAGAAAAGAAAAAATGGGTATTTTTTATTATGTTGCTTGTCTGTCTGAAAATCATAACGTCCCTTTTGATCCATCGTAGACATGCAAAACCTCAGGCCATTATTTTGAGAGTATCTTCTGAATAGCTGAATAATATGTTCCTGAATTCCAATTTTTCCAATCCTTCATTTTCACAAAATATTATGTGAAAGAATTACCAACTAAGTATACCGATTTAAATATTTCATCAAATACCAATAACAGTTGATCTAAACTATACAGATCATATCTGTTCAATTATTTCAAACCTGCAATTACACATCTGATACGTTTATCCAGTAATGTGTTCATTAATATATAAAAAAGAAAGTATTTTATAAAAAGCCAATACCATTGATATGTCCTCTAAGTTTGACTTCTTTGCTCTCACTACTGAGCCGTAACCAGAAATCCTTCGTCCAATATATGAATAAAAATCCATGTTTTATTAGCGTGGAAGGAGACAACAACGTTAGAGGTATTCAAATTGGATTTCCTTCCGATGCAAATGTATATGTTTTGTATTCATTAACAATGAATCAGTTTCTTGGCAACGAATTTATGAGAAATTTGGTTCTGTGATTTTATATATATATATATATATACTTTATTTGGCAATCTCATGTTACCCGACAGTAGGAACTGAACCATAACGATTTGACTCTGGTATTTCAACGTGGTGTAATGATTAGCAAGATTATCTCGCTAACTCAATTACGACTGAATAGTGAGTCTGATCCTCATCGGGTGCTTCATTACGCTCAGAAAATCGACATAACGATTGGACTCTACGATTGAGTTCTATTTTTTTATTTTATTTATTTATTTTTTTTTTGGGGGGGGTCGTTTTCCCCCCATGCAAGCCACTCAGATACAAGGGGCTACAGTGTGTGGAAAAATTAGGAACAGAAACCTTAATAAAGAGTGAGAAGAGGAAAGAGTAATCAGGAGGACAGTAGATAGCGATTGATATTGCATTTAAATTTTTGAAGATTAAAGTTAGCTGGAAAGGATGGAGCTGGAAGGGAGTTCCACAAGCAAGAAGTGCGAGAGAAGAGATTGTTAGCATAGAACTCAACTGAAAATTGACAAGATCTCGATGCCAGTCTAGTACTGCGCTTAAATTAAAAAAGTCTAGGTACCATAGCGAATAGCTTTTCTGGATAATTACTATGTAAGTATTTATAAAAAAAAGGCGTAGAAAGCCAACATTATGGCGATGGGAAAGTCACAGAAACCAAGCCGCCAGATCAGGACCAATAATATTGCTGATTCTTCTTTGAATTTTATCAAGGAGCTCAAGGTAAATAGCAGGGACATTGGACTATATGTGGGAGCAATATTCTAAGCAAGGACGAATGGTAGACTTATAGATATGTAAGATAGATTCTGAAGAGAAAAGTCTCGTACGACACAGTGAACTGACTTTCTTATCAGATTTTTTAATTATGTTCTTAAGTTAATTAGACGATTTCCATTATTATTAATTTTACATAGAATACGCTATTCATTTATAACATATTTACTATAGAAGTTAAGGAAAATTAACATAAAATAGGATGCGTTCGAGGTAGGTTTGATTACTACCGCAGGTACTAAAAAACGAAACGATTAACCTAAGAACTAGAGTCATGTTCTTAAAAAGTCTTGTAGGATCTAGACTCATACACATGGTATGTATGGAGTCTATCTCGTCCAATAATATCTAAACTGTCAGTTAGAAACAACCGCTTTCTCAGATCAGCAATGACTTCCAACGAATGAATCAGGTAGATCTTAACAGTTATTCATTATTTATCAGAACTGAAAATAACAAAAGCTACATCAAGACTTTCAACAGCAGCAACAATTAAAATGGATAGCACAGGCATCTTGAAAAGAAACTAATACCATAATCAAGAGACTGACTTTTCACACTACTACAATCAAATGATTAAGAATCAAGCCCTCATCAGTACTAGAAAGAGAAATAACAGTAGGGACACGTACGGCCATATCAAATTGAAGCACTTGTTCCCGTACGATAACTAAAGTTAAGCAATGTCGAGTCTGTTCAGTACCTAGATGGATGACTGCTTTGGAATACCGGGTACTGTAAGCTTGGATGTGCGGTTGGTGTAATGGATATTGGCTCTGAATTCTTAATCGGAGAGTCGAGTTCTAATTCCTGTTGTGTTCGTTAACTTACGCTCAAATATTCCTCGCAAAGGTATAAATCCACCTTTCTCTCCCCCAGCTACTGGTTAATTATTAAGACTTATATCCCCAAAATAGTTACAAACTAAAAATATTTTCTGGCTTTAAATAATCCGCAAAGGGTTGATAAACCGTAAAAAAAGACTCAATCAATTAATAAATAATAATAATAGAATTGGAATCATACAAACTGTTTTGAAATAAAGATTTTATTAATGTCAACTGACAATTAATTGATCAATCAATGAGTGCCAAAGGAAAAGGCTTTACTCATCATTACAATTAAGTCAGAATTTCAAAAGATTTCTGATTACTAAAAATTCTCTCTTCCTGATTTTAACTCTTTAAAACTATATATATATATATATATATATATATATATATATATATATATAGGATTGATGTATACGGAATAAATTCCAATCACCGAAAATGCTATTTGTCATGAGTCCTTACCTATTACTACAGAATGAAATCTTCCTAACACTATGTATACTACGCCTCTCAAGAGAGAGGGTCGAATGAAGCTGAGCTTCTCGGCTTGACGGTCGAACTCTCTGCCTCTGAGCTGAGAGGAACCCGGACGAGGCTCCGCCAAAGGGCAGATTCTCGTTCGGGGAGGTTGACCAACCCGATCCCGTTTATACGGGTTCTACGGGCATTTTGGGGCCGAGCCTACGGTCTCGGGAAACCCACGTTAAACTCGACCTTGTGCCACATGCAACCCTCGTGGAGGTGGGGGAGGGCTAGATACCGAATCAAGACGAGCCGATAATAGTTCACTCCAAATCAGACTGACAGTCATACTAACACCTTCCACATCTTGTATTATTAGTTCGTGTAATATACCTTCGTTATTTCTACTCTTGTGTTCGTGTTGTTCTTCCTTGGTCCTAACCTGGACCACAACACTATTCTTAAAAGAGTGCTCAATACAAAGTAGAGCAAATATAATTTATTCGAAAATTATAACATTGAATCAACGCCATCACCTGATAAGACACCAGAAGTGTTGAAACAAAATGGCTGTTTTTGTAGTGATTTTATAACATGTTTATGTTATAAATTTCGAATAAATTATACATATGCATATATATATACATATATACACATATATATATATATATAAACACACACACACACACACACATATATATATACACACACACACACATATATATATATATATATATATATATATATATATATATATATATATATATATAAAGAAATCGTACATGTAAAGGGGACGTACAGGCACACCACTTAAACTATATACAAAATCGTATAGACCATATACAAAGAGAACACTGAAACATAAGTGTTTACTTTATTTAACTTTATACAAACTACACACGTACAAAGATGTATCCATGTATAATTTTCCGACTTTTTGCTAGCAACAGAGCAGTTTTGACGTTTCTAAATAAAATAACTGATTTCCATGTAACGATTTTAGGAGTGCGGGTTGCTTTGACTGACCCACGGTATTGATAGCGGTGTGGTTTCTCGTTGATTTTTACGCGGTGATTTTATTTAGACTCCAAATCTCGTTAGCTGGCTGTTGATTCATAGAATCCTCCCCTCCTTTGGAATGGCAAATAACCTAGATAAAGAAAAATACTTGCGGAAAATGGATGGTAGAAGAGAGAATTGAAGGGATGGTGAAAAGTCTAACGTTACGAAGAGCTACAAAAGATAGGAAGTTGTGGGGGTGTCATGGTCGCTTACGTCCTGAAGAGAACATAGTACATAGAAAAATTCGAAGGTGTAGGTATCGAAAGTCGCATATCGGCGGACATATCTACCTCACGCTCATCGATAAACCAAAATTAATATCGATGATAAACAGATAAGGTTTAATACATTCGAATTCTTAACACTTTGAGCCCTGACGACAGATTTACTGGTCGTAGAGGAAAATGACGTAATACTCAGACCCTTGTTGAACAGTGGTTAAACACTTGCATCGTGTTTTTCTATTGGTTGTCTTATTTTGAAGAGCCAATTAGAAAAGCTGTAATATTCTGATGTCATCGAACGTTATACCAACATATCCGCGTATTTTCGTTGTGCTTTGTGCATGTGTTTTGGATAAAAAAAGATCGTTTTTTTATCATGGAGCGTGCAGAGTCTCAACATGAACAAACAATCAGGGAACAAGCAATCAGGGAAGCAATCAGGGACAAACCGTGCGAGAAAAGAGCTCTACACGGCGTAGCAAGTAATTGAATTTTGACTCAGGAGCTCAGGAAGAAGGGTTAAAATTGTTCAGGTGTGCAGAGGTCAAAGAGTTAAAGATTCATCTAGAAACACAAAATAAGCGGTAGTTTTTATTTCTTTGATATTTTTTTTGGCGTTTACTTTTTTGTACAGTACTGTCATTACTTCATAATTGCTTTGTTTACGTTTCGGATACGAAATCAAGTAGATATGGGTTTTCGAGAGTACCTCAACAAGGGAGTGTGCATTCTTTGAAAATGGGTAATAATAACCTGGCTTGGCTGTGACGCTCTCTGTGACCAGGCGGTCTGAAGCACGCTGGATGAAACAGTATTGTTTCCTACAAAGTGAGATGCAGGTTCGAACCTTTATATATATATATATATATATATATATATATATATATATATATGTTTCAAAAAATTTGATATCATTTCGCAATCTAATAACTTTGTTAGATCTCCTTCAAATGACTTCAAATTTTAATAGCATCTTTATGTTTAATGTATGTTTTATGTTTTAATGTCTTTATGTTTTTGTGTTTTTCTTATTTGTATTTTTATGTTCTTTAATCTTTTTCTTTACAGGTATAAAAATGGCGTGTCTCAGGCGGTGCGCATATTGAACATTTGTGATATCGTTCACATAATCCACATGCTTTTGAATTTCTCATTCAGATTTGGAAGAATAAATCTTATGATCTTCAACATTAATACTTTTTAATTTCATTTGCCTTAATTATGTACTTTCTGTGATATTTACATCTCAAATGATATCAAATTTTTTGAAACACCCTGTATATATATATATATATATATATATATATATAACTTCAGCGTTGCATTTCGCAATGGTAAGTATAACATGTTGATAAGAGAAAATTAGACTGTGCAAATCTTGAACCGGTGTAAGAAAATTCGCATTCTTTTAATCTAGATTCGAACCCCCGACCTTTAGCACTGTTGGGAATTACCACAGCTATTTCAGCCACGGAGCCGTCCCTTTAATTTAACGCTATTTTTATAACTCTAAGAATTCTCTGTCAGTCATCTTTTTCTTTAAAATTTACAATCTTTTGCTGCGTTATTCATCTGCTTCCTTATTTAAAATTCCGTCCAGCACTTTCTCATTCCGAAAGTGTCAAGATCATTTGTATTCACCCAACTGCTGATGTGGAAGAAAATAATAAAATACAAACGGATACAAAAGACAAAGATAAAGAAACATTTGTTTGCTTTTTCTTTTGACGCTTTTTTCATTTTTTATAACAGGTAAAACACACACACACACACACACACACACACACACACACACACACACACAGAGAGAAAGGGAGGGAGAGGGGGAGAGGGAGAGAGGGAGAGGGGGAGAGAGGAATAAAAATATAAGTTGAAGTGAAAGAGAAAATAGGTATTTTCATTGCCAGGGATCCTTGTTCCTATCATCCGTGCAAACATTTTGCTTGACTGGATCCAATTTTTTATTTCATTGCTCTAGTGATACAAAATGGTTGCTTTAATAGAAAATTCATTTCTCTTTCTCGACTTCTTCTCGCCTCATCGACTGTTTTCCCCTTTCTTACGATTCCATTCCTCTGGCTGTCAAATCTAGAATTACACCAACCACCATTTATTGTTCGTATATACGAGATGTGTCAGAAAAGAAGTCCCCACCCCCACAAAAAATGTACGGCTAATCCAAAATAACATGTTTTCGCCTTCGACATCGTTCTTTCACTTTCTTCGCCAATTTTCCATGCTCTTGTCCTAGAATAATTCTCCTGAGATTCCCTAGAGTTCCGTTGTCACGGCCCACTTGATCATTCCCACGTCCGGAAAACGGGTCCCGTTGATGAACACAACGTGCTGGAGCAACCTCTCTACTCACCCGACCTGGCCCCGCACGATTCTTTCCTTTACCTCAAGCTGAATGAGGTCATCAAGGGGTTCCGTTTTCCGGACGTGGAAGCCATCAGATGCATCTTGCCATCCACCAAATGCATAGATCATGTATTGAGACACTGTACATACGCGATAACAAGGAATAGCCGACAACAACCACAGCTAAAAGAAGTCAGTTTACCTTCACATCATACAAGTAGTTAATGCCCCTAACAATCTACGTAAGATCTTAACAGACAAGACTATATAACATTGCATCAATCAAACATTAAAAATATTACAAATAATAGAAGCTATGAAAGAAAAAGCGTTATGCATGCACGGTATTTTATTCAGCAATGGCGATGACGTGCTAAAGGCTTTCTGAGCCTAACTGCAAGTCAACCACGTGACTTCACGTCACACTATATTACCTAAAAATAGACTGTAATTTCTAATCTTAACCGATTTAAATCAATGTACTTTCAATGGACAGGGTTACTTACCTGGCACAGGGCTCGTCCCTGGGCTGGTAAGTATCACTGCTATGACTAGCTTAGACCAGCTGTGACCAGCTTGGACAAGCTATGACCAGCTAAGACCAGGTTTAGACCAGTGACCCGAGTGGAAACATTCGGGTCCCCACTTTAAAAACTGACCTTGTGTCACATCCTGACTCAGTGGGGGGGTCAAGTAAATAGCTACTTTCAATGGACAAAATCAATCAGCAAGTCGCTTCTTTCAAAGTTTCATTCCTGACGACAAAACGACGTAACTCGCCCTTTCAATTAATTTCAATA